GCAAATAGTCACCCATTTAAATGGACTAATCTATGAACAGCTTTTGTTCATAAATCCTGAGATTCTTTTCATCATCTTCCGGGCATTTTATGGTGTTTATGACATCAACTCCAGTGATACCGTAAAACATTTCACACTTTTTTTCCTTAGACATATAGTAATTATCATTGAGTTTTTCTGGTATCACTTCTTCAATGCGTTCAAAAACGTCTTTTTCACATGCAAACACAATTAATTTCAGACATCTACCGCAAATGGAGGAAAAACTTTTTGTCTGGTTACAGCAAAATCATTTTAAAAAAAAATTCTCTCAGAGAAGTCTACTTTGGTTTAAAAATCAATAGTAAAAAGCTTTGAGCACCAGCAATTAAATTTCCTGATAAAACTCTGCTCATCCGATTATTCGTTTACCCATCATTTTAGAACAATACTCTCTGTTAAGCTTTTCAATAAGACTGCGACTAAATTAAAGAAAAAAAGGCGTCGAAACACCGCTTGTTATTAAACTTTATACACACTTTTGAGGTTTCACACCTCAGAAGTTAATTTTTTTTTTTCAAAAATGGCCAATCTGTGTATTCTACCACGAATGCATGGAGGTGACGAGGTTATTTTAAAAGTGCATATCATATATTCTACACAGAAATCTTGTGCATTGTACTTATAGCGAAAGCAGGTGAGCCGTAAGATGCTCCTGTTGCTTCAGCAGTTTCAGCAAATCCTTTCTTAGTATGAGAGCTCCCAATACTGTAGTGGTAACAAGTAAGAATTTTATTTTGCTCACAGATTGTGTTCACTGCGAATAAGTTTTGATTATTAATTTAATGAATGGATTCTACTGGTGGTTCTCAATATGCCGTCAAAAATTAGTGACCGCTTAATTGATCGACGTATTTGTCCGAAAAAGCCCTGAAAAATACAATTTTCATCAACCTCGTAAAATTGCTGAAATGTCAACAGATCTACAGGAAAATAACAATTTTTTACCGCTTGTTTTGAAACGTTTTGGTTCAACACAGCAGACACTGTCAAAAGCCTAATATTTTATGCAACAGATACTCGCACAGAAAATCACTTCAATTGAAATAAAAATGTTAGCAAAAAATAACGTTTTAGAAATTTACTTCTAACTGACAAACATTTATTCTTCGCGCACTGTGATAATCGTAGCAAAAAATTTGGATAAACAATACTAAATATCGCTTTAAAAAAAACTGTTCTTAACCACTGTTTATCAATTAAGCTAATAGTAATAGAATAAACTAACTAATAGTGATCCGCTTTCGACATACTCTCTGTCATTATATCAATTTCCAGCGCATAAAGTAATTCATGCTTAAACAACAATGAATTCAGAAAATTTTTTCCAAAACTTCATAGCTGCTATCAGGTTTATTTTTGTGAATTATTCACAAAGCCATCAAATGATTTTCTTAAAGAAGCATCAAATGAGAGATTTGTTAAGAAGCGTAACACATCACTACAACTCCTATAATTTTTCCTGACCTAAAATCAGAGCTGCCGATGCTGTAAGGTGTAAACTGACCTAAGATACATCAGTTTAGCTTTAAGCCGTTCACTGTATAGAGTTCATGAAGAAGTTCAGGAAGATGCAGTATATGCTGGTCCATAAAACCATACAATTTAGTCAATTTGGTTTTTTGAGAGAGCGAAGTAAAATGAGGCGAGATGGAAGGGCAAATGTTGTTGGTATCCGAAAATGGATGATTTTATGATTGTTGAAGTGACAGGCAAAAAAAAAAAAAAAA